GCTGACAACACAGTGGACAGTGACAGGGATGGCAGAGTATGGAGCCTCTAGTGGGAGAGGAAGGCTGTCTATCTGATGAGTTTGTAATCATGCTCAGATGCCGAGGAGCTCAGAAGGTGGGCGACTGTGAGCAGTGATAGTCATGTATATAGAGATTAGAAATGCATGTGAAAACGTCTCAATGAATGAATTCTTGGAATGAATTCTTCTGTATGAAAAAAAAAAAAACAAGTATCTTCTTGAAGTCCCTCAAATTAAGGTAAAGAATAAGAACAAGTCATTCTGGAAGAATGCAAAGGAAAATAGCTTTAGATATTTAGATATTTAAGTGACAATTGAATTTATTCTACAGTAACAGGGATAACAGAGTATATGGGTTCCAGTAAGGGGCAGGGGGGAAGTGGGTATATAGATGAATAAGATTGTTTGGGATGTTCTGTATGATATACACAAAAAAAATCAACAAAAAAATGACATATTTGAGGAGGAAGCATAAAAAATTTACTTCATGTTAATTAGTAGAGGTGATAAACATTACCAGTGAAATCTACCTGATGACTTTATGTACCTACTCAGGTGCCAAGGATCCGAATGTAACTGGTTGTGACTAGTAATAATCAGATGCATAGAGAGTAGAGACACATGTGCAAACATCTAAGTGTTAGTTGCATTAAAGATGAGTTTTTCTATATGAAACAGTGTATTTTAATAATAAAATGGATATCAAGTTTAAAACCAAGGAAACAAACAGAAAACGCACAGAATGGGAGAAAATCTTCACCAGCGATACATCTGATAGAGGTTTAATTACCTAATTCAACTGTAAACCTAAAAATTTATAGCCAATTTTGAAAGAGATGCTTCTTAGCTCTGGAAATTGTTATTGAATATGTCAATGGTGTTGTAATGAAATGCTTCTGCATTATGTGGTTATTAAATAAATAATTTTTTAAAATATGAAAAAAAAAAAGGATATTCCGCCATTCTGTCAAGCCAGCTGGTTCGGGATGCTTGAGCCCACTGCCTCGCTTATTTGGCTGTGAAGTGAGTTCCGTGGTCAGAAGCAGTGCTGTATGGAATACCATGAAGGTGACTAAGGTATTCTGTAAGTCTGTGAAAGGTAGTTTTGGCAGAAGCACTACATGGAGGAAGGCAGGCCCCAAACCAGAATTACCTATTCCAGCAAGGACAAAGCTCTATTCTTGTCATAATGGATGTGGTTCAATATAAGCAGCCTGGCACCAGGTCCCTTGACTGGTCACTCCAGAAAACGGTGCCTCATTGGGGCTCAGTATTGATTGCCGCAGCTTACATATTTGGCACTCATCAGCAACTGTAGCCATAGCCACTGTGGTGCATCCAAATGTTTATTGTTGAACCCATGCAAATCCTTCATCTTTGCCATCATGGCCACTTTGTTCATGGGTCCATTGGGCAATGACATGGATAGCCAGGGAAAGAGGTTGACTAGTAGTCAAGATTGCATCATCCTATCAACTTGATTATTGAAATTATCCTATGCTGAGGTCAACTTCTAGTCCGAATTTACTCGTGACACAAATATCCTTGTCAGTTGGCCACTTGGAGAGATCTGCCAGGCACTTTGACCTCAAATGTCCTTCTCACCAGTTTTCCAGTTGTGGTTCTTTCAAGTTCCCCACTGTCCAGCTATGTAGCTACAGCTCATGAACCAGTATTTACTTCCACTTCTCCTTCCAAGCAGAATGTACAGCCATGTGCACAGCCCCCAGTTCTGCCCATTCTGAAGATTTCCCTTCACCACTGTCTTTCAGGGTTGTCTCAGTAAAGGGTTGCAGTGTTGTAGCTTTCCACTTCTGGGCGATGCCTGCATAGGTCCACCCGTGGGATCTGCAAAGACTCCTGATAGGTAGCATTCCCTGTCTGCCACTGATATCTCAAGTATTGGGGCTGCTGGATCATATTGCCCAAATGGCAGAGGTTTCTGGATCTGTTGAAGGGCTCTCTTTCTTGTTCATGGACCCACTCAGAACTAGCAGCTTGCAGAGTAACCTGGTATATGGGCCAGAGTAACACACCCAGGTGAGGAATGTACAGCCTCCAGAATCCAAGTAGGACCACTCAACATTGTGCATATTTCCTGGTGGTAGGAAGAGCCAGGTGCAACAACTTACCCTTCACCCTAGAAGGAATGTCTCTGTGTGCGGACACCATTGTACTTCTAGAAATTTCAGTGAGGTAGAAGGCCCTTGAGTTTTGGTTGGATTTATTTTCCATCTTCTGATGCCGTGGACTAGTGTGATGCCATGTGGAAGAGACATGTGATCCAGATCCTTGTGAACTAAGTTGTGACATAGGGATGGAGAAATAACAATGCCCTGAGGTAGAACAGGAAAGGTGTGGCTGAAACAAACCACTTTTGGAGGTTCTTATCAACAGATACCAAGAAAAAAGCAGTTATGAGATCAGACGCTGCATACCAGGTACCCGGAGATGTGTTCATCTGCTCGAGCAGGGAACCCACATTGCACACAGCAGTTGCAGAAGGGGTCGGGACTTGATTCAGTTTGCAAAGGTCAGTTGTCGTTCTCCCTAATCCATATGGCTTCTGCATAGGCCAAATGCAGTTAAAGGTAGATGTGATGGGAACCTCCATTCCCTGCAACTTTCAGATCCTTCATCACAGTAAGCTCTGCAGTCCCTGCAGGGAATATGGTATTGTTTTGGTTTACTGTTTTCCCTGGTAGAGGCAGCTGTAATGGCTTTCATTTGGCTTTCCAAATAGCTGTCACTCCACAGGTCAAGAAATCCATGTGCAGGTTCTGCCAGTGTCCATGTGTATCTATCCCAATTGCTCATTCTGGGACTGGGGAAATAACCACAGAATATTTGGGGGATCACTGGACCCACTATGAGTTGAACTTTGGCTAAAACTCCATCTATCACTTGACCTCTATAAACCCCTGCTTTAACTGGAGAACCAAAATCTTTTGGGGCCCTTCAATTGGTATCAGTTCCAAACCATTGCCTAACAGGCCCTGAGAAGTCTGATTACTTCCCCGGTGTAAAAGACTGTAGGTCCCTTTGGGGAAGGGTGAGAATACAAGATGAAGGATGATAGTAAAACTTCACAGTATTCTAGCAAGGTTCGTCCCCAAGGAGACCTAGTCTCTTCTTCATCCAAGGGGTTCTGATCTATAACCTAGCTAAAGTCTGGAAATTGGTTAAGAGGCCATGAGTCTCTGCTGCTAAGATAGCATTTCTTTTATTTATTCTTGGATTTCTTTTCTTTTATTTCTTATATAGTTCAGGCAGGAACTTAGTAGGCTTTCTATCTGTTTTTTACTTCTGGGAACACCATGATTAATTACCCAGTGCTAATGGTTTACACATGTCAGACTGCGTGAACATTGCTTCCTGCAAAGTACGCTCACCTTACCTTCGGTGATTCAGTGCTGCCACTCGGCCACTGCTCTCAGATCCAATTAGATCCATTGCATTTAAGTCATCCAATTGATTGGCCATAACTCCTACCGTAAGGTCTTGTGGTCAGAGAAAAGTAACAGCAGAGCTTCTCAAGACTGCTGGTACCCCTCTCAAAGTCTGTTTCTTTTTTTAAATTTTATTTTGTTTTTGAGACTTTCATACATGCGTATTGTTTTTGCATTATATCCATCCTTCCCAGGTCCCCTTCAGTTTCTCCTGTGACTCCTATTCCCTCTCCATTTCTTGACCTCTTCTTTGATTATTATTGTGATACATATATACATATACATATTAATACACATAGTAATGCGCTGAATCCATTTAGTGTTGCTCTTATGTACCTGTGTTTAGGGCTGCCCACTTGGGATTAGATAATCTTTTGGGGAGCTAGTCCTTGGAGAAAACTGATTCTCCCTCCCTCAGCATCCATTGATGGCTCTTTATCTTGATGTGGGACCCCATGGCATTCCCTCAATCTGCCTTGATGTGTCAACTGCTCTTGTCGTCATGCGAATCTTGTTAGACTACCATACTGGGAGATTTCATGGGTGTGGCTTCCCTATCAGGACTAGAATGCACTAGCTAGCAGCAGATGCCTAGTTCCTCTGGCTCTGCTTCTTAAAGTTACAGTGACAGGTGTGTCTTCTGGACCCTCCCATTGTGGAGGACTGGGCTTCACACAGCAGATCCACTCCAGTGTTCCAGTTCCTAGAACCTTAAATCCCTTCAACATGAAGCCAAAAAATATGAGACATCGCCAGCCCATTCTCAGTAGACTACTTTTTGACCTATACGTCAGCCAACCGACTATAACACATTTTTAATTGTGTGATCTAAAACATTAAATCCAGAATCTGTGCTCTTTGGGCCCACACACTTTGAAAACATATTTTATTTGTTATTTTTATTTTATGTGTATGAGTGTATTGCCATACACTTTTAATATGCTTTTGTTAACAACATATTTTCTACTAGGAAGACACTAAGAAATGTAGAACAGTAGTTGTGATAAGTCCCAGTGCCACATTTGAATGGGGGTAATAGTGTCTGGACACATGGGACTATGTTCTATCTTAAAATTTGTGAAAATATTAACAGTGGTAATTTTCTTTGCTCCTGTAGATATTCCTGAAATTCCAGAAAGCATCTCCTTCTGTAAAGCACTACAAATAGCTGACTTCAGTGGAAATCCACTGACCAGGTAATCTTTCTTCTTTACATTTCTATTTATGTTATGAAGAATATCATTTCTGAGAGCAAGCAAAGAATACAATGAGGTTAGCCATCATGGAGGTAGCTAGCTGGGTCACTGTCCCTTTCAATGGTGGTTGACTTTTCCAAATGTTTGCTTATAAACAATCAGACAATGGAAGTCACACTCCAGTATTGACAAAAACAATGAAAAGGAAGACAAGGGGTTGCTGAGGAGGGTACAAAGCAGGAGTTAAGGAGAACACGCTGAAGCACTAAAAAGAACTGTAGCTTTAAGAAAACAAGCTCCCTAGTGGGCTAGTGAGATGGCTCAGCAGGTAAAGGTTCTTGCCACCAATCCTGACCAGAGTTCAATCCCTGGAACCCACATGGTAGGAGAGAACTGACTCCCACAAATTGTCCTTTGACCTCCACATTTAATGCCATGGCACATGTATGTGCGCTGTGGCATGTGTGTGTCTGTAAGTAATGCAGAGCTTAAAAGAACAATCATAGGGGACTATGAGCATCTCTCAAAATGTCCTGTAATTGTGGTGGTTGACCTGTCCTCTTGATCAAGGAGGCTGAAGAGACCCCACCAGATGGACTTGAACCAGTGTCCAGTCTACAAAGAAGAGGGTCAACACAGAGGAATCATTTCCTCCATGCTTCCAAGTGAAGCCAACCATGGTCAAGGAGGACCTTTGACTTATCTTCACATAGGTGGAACTGGTAAAAGAAAGGAGCCAGGAGCTCCTCCCAAGCCCGTGTGACCCCCTGAGGAACAGATCCTCAAACGACCCTTAAGAATAAAAATAAATTGGTTTATCTGGGCCAACTGTATGGCCTTAAACACCCAAAAGGAAAGTATAACCAAAGATTAAAGGGGTCAATATAAATTTTTAAGAGTCCATATGTATAGCTAAAGGCTACATAACAAGCAACAATGCCAGACAGGTGATACCTTCTTTTGAGTTGTTGGCCAGGGTGGCCCAAGGGACTCCCAGATAGTAACCCAGCATAGAACTGGGAAAATGAACAGCAGACCCCAGTCTTATCTAAAGGAATAGTGACAACCGATTGCTGCTAGAAGAGGAACAGCTGACCTCATCTAAAACAAAGACCTCTAGATAGGCCGACTAGATTCACCAGTTGGACAAGTAGAGAGGAACAGCTGGGGATGCCATCCACACAGCAGACAGTAGCAGGAATAACGGAGTATAAGGGCTGGGGGCGGGGCAGGGAGGCTATGGGAGGGTGCCATCTGGGAAATGGGTGTATAGTTGGATAAGATGGTTTGGGATGTTCTGTGATATACACACACACACAAATAAACAAATTTTTTTAAATGTATTATATTTGAGGAAGAAGTATAAAAATTTGCATCATGTTAATTAGTAGAGGTGATAAACATTACCATTGAAATCTACCCGATGACTTTATAGACATACACAGGTGCCAAGGATCTGAGTGCAATCAATTATGACTTGTAATAAACAGATACAGACAGATTAGAGATGCATACGCCAACATCTCAGTGTTATTAGCAAAAATAAAGAGTCTTTCTGTAAGAAATGGTATATTTTAAAATGAAATGTAGATCTTTTTTAAAGGTTAAGAACTCATTCAAGTTTATGTCTTACAGGGCTTATACTGAGTTCAATATTGTATAACTGTATTGAACAGTGAACCTAAAAATTTTGTAACCACTTTTGAAAGAGATGTATCTTTGCTCTGGAAACTATTACTGAGTATGTTAAGGCTGTAATGAAATTCTTCTTCTTCTTAAAAGAAAAAAATATATAATCTAATTTAAGTTAAAAAAAATAAATGGATTCTGAAGGCTTAGCTAGGCCCATGGATCTGGTCCATTAACCATTCCATTGGTGGTGCTTGTTAGTACTAAGAATTTGTAGTTTTAGCAAGGGTCCTAGGGGACTGTTGCTGATGGCCCTGAGGCCATCTATGAGCCATGCTGATGTGTAGGGCTTTCGTATTGAATGGATGTAGGTTCATGCTGTTTTTTGAGCATTTTTTGGTGTGTTTTGAGCCTCAGTTTTATTTTTTTAATTTTTTAATTCTTTAAGTGGGAATGATGATTCTACCAAGAGCACTGTGAATGTGGAGACTGTAAATAGAGCCCTCAGCTCTTTCACACACATTATAGGTTTCTAATTACAATTGGAAACACAAAATCTCCCATAATTAGATACTTACAGATGCAAGATGCATGCACCAGCATCTCAGTGTTAGTAGCAAAAACAATGGATCTTTCTGTAAGAAACAGTATATTTTAAAATGAAATGGAGAACTTTTTTAAAGGTTAAAAACTCATTCACTTTTATGTCTTACAGGGTTTATACTGAGTTCAATATTGTATAACTGTATTAATTCAACAGCGAACCTAAAAATTTTATAACCACTTTTGAAAGAGATGTCTTTGCTCTGGGAACTGTTACTGAGTATATTAAAGCTGTAATGAAATACTTCTTCTAAAAACAATGTAAAAAAAAGAACAATCAGAGAACTTAAAGAAAACAGACAACTCAAAGTACTCAAAGAGGATAGGCATAAACTTGTGATGAAAACTCATGAAAATAGAAATATAAACAAAAACAATTAAGGACTTGAAAAGTAAATTCACAAAAGAGATACTGGAGAAAACCCAAGCTGAAATGAAGACGGAATTAAAAAACTCTAAGCTAATCTGGAACAGCAGGAGAAAACCTCACAAGTAGAGTGAATGGCATGGAAAACAGAGTATCCAGACTGGACAACCAAGCTGAATCACTGGGCTCCTTAAGCAGAGATATGAGCCCAGCTTCTAAGGCAGCCTACATGGCCGGGGCAGCTGAGAGATGCTCTGTGGTGCTGCTGGGCCTTGTAACCACTCTGTAGCTTAATACCCTTTTATGATTTTCTGGTACTCCTTTTCTAATGTCTGCTGACATTTGACTTCACAGTTATCTGAAGGCTCTCAACTAGAAAACATATTTAAAAAAAATTTTTTTAGAAAAAGCATTTCATTACAGCTTTAACATACTCAATAACAGTTTCCAGAGCAAAGATACTTCTCATTCAAAAGTGGCTATAAAATTTTTAGGTTCACTTTGAACCTAATAACCACATACTTAGAAGAAGCATTTTATTACAACAGCATTGACATATTCAGTAAGAATTTTGAGAGCTAAGATGCATGTCTTTCAAAATTAGCTCTAAAATTTTGGTTAATCCTTCTTTTTATCGTGCCCTCATATCGGGGGCAGGTTTCTTAAAGTAAAGCCATTTTGGTTTGGCAGATGCACAGTTTGAAGAATTAAGATGGTATCTGTGAGCAGAGGATCCTTAGTAATGACTTGGCTTGGCCCACGTACTCTGAGTAAGGAAACTGAAGCTAGATTAACAGACCATGCAGCTAGGAGGAGAATGCCAGGAATTATGCCTCCTTCCCATAAGTCTCTCCTTCCTCATTACTATGTACTAGCTTGGCTCTCTGTTAACAGCTGACAGAAAAGCGAACCAGTCATTTAAAACATTTCACTTACTTTCAAGAACACTTTAGTTTTAAAATTACAAAATGACATATACTTTCTGGAAAAAAACTCAGGCAGACCAGGTACGTTCCATCTTTTGAATTATAAGCAGTAATCGCCAGCTAGCTATTCCCAAGAGCATACTGTAAACATTTCTGTTAATACCCAGTTCTGGGCTGGAGAGATGCTCAGCGGTTAAGAACACTGGTTGTTCTTGAAGAAGACCCGGGTTCAATTCCCAGCACCCACATGGCAGCTAACAACTGTCTGTAACTCCAGTCCCAGGGGATCCGACAGCCCCTTCTGACCTCCGCAGGCATTGCATGACATGGGTGCACTTACCTACATGCAAGCAATACGTGCATACACATAAAATAAAAATAATAAATATAATTTTTAAAAAGACCCAATTCTTGGGTGCCTGGATTTGCTTTGAATTCTGGAATTAGCCTATATTAAATGTCAAACACAAGTGTAGGATTTTTTACATAAAAAAGAACCTGAGAAGGAAAATTAAAGATTCTAATCTAGAGACTTCTAAAGCCTCCATCCCGTGCTGAAAGTGAAGGGTTTGTAGTTCTGTTGTCTGTGTTAGCAGGTTTGTGAATGCATATCCTGTATCTAATTTTAGATGTCATAAGATCTTTTCATCTTTAGTAATGCGCCCCCCCCCAAATACTGGTAACCATAGAAATACTGAAAGGAAAATTTGTGAATTTTAAATCCTCTTTATATCAAGCCTTACTGTTTTGTAGAGTTTATGAGACACATGGAAGTGCTTTTGTGTAGATTATGTAGTGAAACATAAAATTATCTTAAAGAAGTTAAGAAAGTTGCAGTTGGCTGTCAGCTGATCAATTCAAAGGAACCCTTTGCTCTCAGGCCTTACAAGCTACATGGGAAACTAATGACTAATATAGTCAGCAGTCATGTGGATTAAAATCCTGTGGGCTCCAGAAATCTAATCAGCTTTGAGTTTTCAATTTTTTGTTTTTGTTTTGTTTTATTTTTACAGGGTCTCCAGGTAGTCCCAGCTGGCCTGGAACTCACAGAGATCCACCTGCCTCTGCTGGGCTTAAAGGTGTGCGCCACCATGCCCAGCCCAGTTCTCTTTTTTTTTGTTGTTGTTGTTTTAAAGACAGGATTTCACTGTGTAGCCCTTGCTGGCCTGGAACTTGCTATGCAGACCAGGCTAGTCTCAAACTCACAGAGATGCCCCTGTTTCTGCTTCCCAAGTGCTGGGATCAAAGGGGTGCGCCACCATGCCCAGCCTTGTTCTCGGCAGCCTCAGCTTCCATAGCAACACCACTTCCCTTGGTAGAGCACCCAGACTCCCACAGCATCCCTCTTTATTCTTAGGACTTGCACATCTATCCTTTTTATACGTATGTTTATGTTGCTCTGTTGACAGGTGTTTACCTGCCCTGTACTTGGGTTTGGTAGAGAAAACCTTTTCTCCTTACAGGTGTATGTAGAGGAGGACAAGGCAGATATGCCGTAATCTAAGGTAATTTCAGGAAGTTGTTGCAATTGACCTCTGGGAGAAGTCTGTGTTTATGGTGGTACACGCTGATTTACTTTTTAAATCAACATTTTGTTGTTGTTGTTGTAGGTTGCCAGAGAGCTTTCCTGAACTACAGAATTTAACATGTCTTTCCGTAAATGACATCTCACTGCAGTCTCTGCCTGAAAATATTGGAAAGTAAGTTTTTGCAGAAGTTTGTGGTTGTCAGGATAAAAGGATGTTTGTTACCCATTCCGCCCTCCTTCCTTTACAGCGTTTCCTTTCTACACAGCACTGTTCGCCCCTTCTTTAGTGTCAGCTTTGAGAAGGCTCATAGCCACCTTCTTTCTGTGTGCCTGATTGCCCTGTGTTGCTGTTTGTTGGTTTGTTTAGTGTGTGTGGGGAGGGTGCAGGCTACATTTGCACTAATGTCTGCGTGCATGTGGAGGCTGCAGGAGGCTGGCCATCAGGTGTCCTGCTCCAATGTTGCGTGAGATACCAAGGAGTTTCTTTCCAGGGAGTAGTTTATTGTACTAGAATCGGGCTCGGTGGATTCCTACCCACCAGACAGACTCCCAAACAAACCAAAGCCCAGGCTTTCATTCCCCCTGTTAGTTCTGCCTCATAGTTCAGTTCCCTTTGTCTCCCTTATAAAGCAACATCTTTTTTGATTGGGTGTCCCCTGCCCCCTGTCTTGACTGGCAGAGCTGTGTATGTATGTGCATTCAGGCACAGACCAAGCTGCATGGTCTTCGGCATGGTCTTTACCTGGGGGGGGCTCCTGCCGTACTCTCACTCTCTGCCTTACCCCTCTGAGGCAGGGTCTCTCACTAAACCTGGACCTAGGCCTTAGCAAACCCCAGTGATTCGGTTTCCCCCTCATAGCATTGGGGTTACAGGTCTGCTAGCCATACCTAGCTCTCTCTGTGAGTGCTAGGATCTGAACTCGGGTCTTCATTCTTGCTTAGCAGGCATTCTTACCCACTGAGCCATCTCTCTAGTCCCCAATTGTCCCTAAGTTTTAATTATTATGGATGTGCTGCTACATGTGATTTGTAAGAAATTTGTTTGAAAGCTCTTTTTTAAACAAAGGTTTGTTTATTTTTATGTATGTGTGTATATGTGCCACGTGCTTGTGGGTACCCATGGAGGCCAAAAGAGGATGTCAGATCCCTTAGAGCTAGAGTTACAGGCAGCTGTAAACTGCCCGGCATGGGTGTTGGGAACTGAACTCGGGTCCTCTGCAGGAACAGCAAGTGCTTTAAACTGCTGAGGCATCTCTCCAGCCTCTTGAAAGCTCTTTTTGAACTTGTGGATTCCAGAGTAGCAGTTAAGTAGAATTTCTAGCTTACTTGCTAATGTTTGTTACATTTTGCTGGAAATACCACTTAGTAATTTTAAACCATGCTGGGAAGGGAAGCCAGCGCAGGACTCCTCTGAACACTCTTGAGTGCTTCTGCCTAACAGCTGTGCCTGCCACTGTGTATAAACTGTAACCCTAAGAAGGCTACAGTGGGACATGGGGGGTGGCATGGCACATTTTCACATTGCTACTTTACAGAGCCACAGCAGGAAATAAAATCCTTTGAAGAAAATTGTCATGGGCTGGGGGCTGGAATCAGGAAGATGGCTCTGTTGGTAAAGCACTGGCCTTACAAGCACAAGGACCTGAGTTTGGTCACCAGAGCCCACGTAAAACTGTCAAGCTTGGCGGCACATACCTGTGTTCCTAGGTTTGGGGAGGTGGACACAGGATGCCTGGGCGCACTGCCAGCCAGCATAGCCTAATCAGTAAGTTCCAGACAACAAGAGACCCTGTCTGAAAGGTCAACAGTATTCCTGATGATGCCATCGAGGTTGTCCTCTGGCCTCCACATGTGTGCACATACATGATTGCACATCTGCATATAGGTGAACCCGCCCATATACATACAGAAATGAAAACAATGTATGATGGTGAAGAAGTATCCCGTTGTCCGTTGCACACACTAATCGGATTATCTCAGCAGATTGTTTCTGTTTCTCCGGGTTGTACAGTAGGTTAAGTCTGGTGATGATCCAGTGGCTCTGAATTAAAAATGAGAAACCCACGTGACTGGCCTAATGTGTAGAACAGTGTTCTTAGCATCATAAATTGTACCCTACTGTTTTTGTGTTCTGCCTAAGTTCCAAGACGAAATAAAAGTTCTCTTTGAGCACCGTGGTGAGCAGTTCAGTCCAGACATCTGACCTGTCTGTCCTACAAGGTTTCTTTCTCCAAAGAGCCCCAGGAGAGCTCAGCACACGCTTGTCCCCTTCCTTTCTGCCTGTGGCCACACATTCAGCCAGCAAGTCAGTGGAATTCTGGGGCACCACTGGTGGTTTGACTTTATGCTAATAGGTTTGCTGCTTAAGACTGGTCAGACTCCCAAAGGAAGAAGGGAGAAGGGGAACCCCAGTACACACTGCGTTTATGGTATCAGTTGCCATCGGAAACAGTAATATCCCACTGTGGAGTTCTTATACTTACACTTTACTTTTGTTATAACAAGTTTCACATGTTTATAATTTTAAAATCCTTAACGATGGCAGTCGTTTAAACACTGACACTGACGCAGCCCGTCCTCTAAGATCTCTGGACCCTGAGCTCCTTGTTCATTTCTCATGGTCATTCCCAGCCCCCTGCCTCCATGCTCATCCTGACTAGCCCATGATCCCTGAATTCCCTGCCCTGCTTCCTGCTGTTTAATAAAGGCTTAATGCTATTAAAAATGTTTTTATTAAACCAAAGTGCTGCTCAACCTCAACTGTAGTATTTTAGTGAGATATGTTTAATATTTAGCTTAGAATGTTATAATATTCCTTATCCTACCTTCCACTGATAGCTGTACCTGTCTCTGTGTTCAAGATTTCTTACATGTCTATACTCTATCAATAATAAGAACAGTATGTTTTGTTTTGTTCATAGATTTAATTGGCTTGTATTGCCATTACAGCAATGTGTATACCTATTGCTTCCAAAATGAAATGTCAATTTCAACTTGAAATTAAGAAATTAACTGATTCTCTTAGGGCTGGAGAGATGGCTCAACAGTTAAGAACACTGACTGTTCTTGCAGAAGACCCAGGTTCGAATCCCAGCACCCACATGGCAGCTAACAACTGGCCATAACTCCAGTCTCAGGGGATCCGACAGTCTTTTCTGACTTCTGCAGGCATTGCATGACATGGGTACACTTACCTACATGCAGGCAATACACACATACACATAAAAATAAATAATCTTTTTAAAAAAAAGTAATCAGCCGATTCTCATGAGGTCAGTTAGTGCAACCAAATGAAAAAGTTTCCCATTCTTAGTGTTTAATAATTTTGTCACTATGACAAGAAACACTAGCATTTTGTATGTGTGTGAGATTTAAGATTTCTGCTTGATCAAAGAGACAGTGGAAACAATAAAGGAACACAGTCTTCTGGGGAAGGCTGGGCCCTGAGGGAGTTCCTAAGTATGTTAGAGAGGCGCACTATTGAGAAAGGTCGATAGGTGCAGCACGTCTTTATTGGTCACTTAGGAGCTGTTCTCAGGGGAGAGGGTTCAATTTCTAAAAAGTATTCTCAAATGGTTTCTTGAAATAATTTAACATATTTAATGAACCAAATATTTAGTAAGCAGTACAACTTCTCAGAGACAATGTGGTTTTGCAAAGAAAACACACCTACATGATAGTCTAGAAAAGTAGGAAAGAGCATGAAATGACCCTTTGAGTGACTGGTATTTACTGTGCTCCTTGTAGAATCTGTAGTAGGATTTTTTTCATAAGTTTGCCTTGCCCGTGGGCCATGTTAGATTGACTCTGGAACATTAGTTAAGACAGGCCTCTGTTTCTCTTCTTGGTACCATACATGTACTTAGCTCTAGTAAGAAGAGTTCTGGATTTCGCTGGATTCAGACCTCACAGTAGACAGTCGCTCCCAGACTGGTAGGGAAGGGCCAAGACCTAGGGCAAACAGACTTGCAGTGTCTTGAAGCTGGGGGCGTGTGCAAGCGTATTTCCTATCATGTGTTTTATTTGCCCAGGGTTGGTTAATTTGAGAGTTTGGGGAATTGGCAGCAGAATTGGAACTGGAACATGCCTTTCCCATCCCTGTCCTGTTTCTCCACGATTCTACCATAAGGCGGTTGGTTTTGAAGGTTTAGGGGCTCAGTAGCATTCCCTCAATGCTCTTAGAAATACCTAATAGTACTAATTATCAGGCAGTCAGGTCCAAACAAGGTTTAATATGTATGCCCTAATAAGCTAGTAGCTGTTTAACAAATTAGCATATACAAATTGAAAAAGTATTTGAATTTTGTTCTTAAGTGCCCCCAGTTATTTACTGTTGGATGCAAGTTTACTTGTTAGACACTGCTCAGCCTCTCAGGCCACCACCTCGTGTTTCTTCCATGGTTTTTTCCCTTGCTGCTGCCTTGTATCACAGAACACTGAGAACTTAGCTTTGAAGAACCCCTTGAGAGGAATGTAGAGCTACCGGATGTGGAACTGCCGGAGCTGGAGGCCCACGTGGTGCCTACCAGATGCTGGATCTTCCTGTATCGTTCTCAAATCTAAAATATTCCGTGGTGATGTCCCTGTTTGGTTGCTGCTGCTTCTCTGGATACCTCAGCATGTAGAGCCAGAACTTGTTCTGTCTGGAATGTGTGGGGAGTGTACAGTGAATGGTGTGTTAGGAGAAATTATGCCTTGTGTATGGCTGCCTCTGCTCAGATGGTGCCCCATGTGAACACTGGCTCTGCCTAGAGGCAGCCAGTGGAGAGGAGGCCGGATGTCCCAGAAGCAGAGGACTACAGCAGCACACCCCTCAGTGAGGTTTCAGGCACTGCCAGGCAGCGCAGCTCACGTGTTAAGCTGTGTGGTTCCACTATAGGTACTTTCATTCTTTTATCCCCTCTTCTGGTATGTTCCCCAGGCCTTGGAGGGGAAGATGCGAATGACCCATTTGAGGGTTAGCACTCAACAATCACTCTCAACACTTGGACAAGTTGTACATCTCTGCAGTTACCACCATCTACTGCAGAAAGAAGCTTCTGACTGAGGCTAGCACCGGGAGTCATCTGTAGACATAAATGTAAATATTCAGACAGAAGTTTGACACATCATGTCCATTTAGCAAAACAGCAGCAGTAGCTTCTCCACTAGGGCCTGTGACCTTAGCCGTGA